AAGACGAGGCGCCATGCTTTTTTGTGAAAATTTATTGTCTTTAGCACGGCGCCTCGTCTTGATTCCTTTGTATGTGACTATTGATGCGTAATTCGCAAGTCGGCTATGCACTGATGGTACTCCTCCGCGGTGGGAATATCAATGCACTGATGGTACTCCTCCGCGGTGGGGATATCAATGCACTGATGGTACTCCTCCGCGGTGGGGATATCAATGCATTGATGGTACTTCTCCGTGGCGGGGTAATCAATGCACTGATGGCACTCCTCCGCGGCGAGAACTAGCGCTTCAAGTGGTTCGCAAGAACAGAGTGACACAACATAATATATCTGTGTTCGAGGATTTTTAATCGTTATCTTGATAACAGTGTTGAAATGAACAGGAATCTCACATTTTAAATAATTTTCTTGTTTCAACAATGTCAGCGTAAATGCAAAAAAGCTCTTCCTTTCATAGTTCGCAGCTCCACCTTCACAGGTCGTCATTCCTTTCCATCAAATTGCAATGTTACATATCTGTGAATATGGCTATTGAAGGCGATGTAACTTCTGGCAAACACGTGTTAGCTGAGATTGCAATGGAATCAACAAGTCGAGTTTACAGATTGAACCAGATAGTCATTGTTGTCAGTTTGTGGCCCAACAATGATTTATCATATTAAATAAAACCATTTCTCTTAAATCATTTTAGATGAATCAGTCAAGACATATAATATCAGGAGACTTTTCGTCACTAGTACTAGTATCAGGCCTTTTGTCATCACTTGGGCTGGATGGGCTGCCAGGGCTGTCACCACGTAAAAGTCCCATAGCAGATGCCTTGCTTCGTATGATGGAAGTTAGCTGGTTATCCACTAAAGCACTAGCTTTCTTACTTAGAATCGGTTGTTTTGAAGGTGGGGTTAGACTACGAGGGGTGTCAGATGGACTACTTGATGGACTGTGAGTGCTACTAATTGGGGTGGCTGCCGTAGTGACTGATGAAGGCGTTGARCTTGGTGCACCTGGCAATAGTAATAACAGAGTGATTGGTCGTACATCTTACATTTACTTGTGGCACAGACTAACTTTCAAACTCCCTCAAAGTGCAATACACCATACAGGGGCGGATCCAGGATTTTCCTCAGGGAGGGGTGCGGAGCTCTCAGGAGGGGGTGCACCCAACAAAAATCATTACCATGAAGATACGAAATAAGGAAAGTATCAAAGGATACAGATCTCAGGAGGGGGTGCGCAGCTTTTTTTATAGGTCATACTTTTTTATAGGTCATACTACGACACACCGCTTCAGTTACAAGCAATCCAAGGTAAACATCTATACCTGTAATCAAGGTGCTAACATACGGCGTTGGCGTTGGTGAATTCAACGGTTGTCCCACAATCTTAGTTGTTACCATAGGAGAGACAACCCTTCCTTGGATAACTGGACTTGTTGAACCAGGTATCGCAGAGGCAGGTAAAAGTAGGGTGGTAGGGAGAGGTGGCTTGACTGATATGGTAGCAACCCCTTGTTGTTGGTAGAGAATTGGTCATAAAATCAAACAACACACAATAAATACATGCATACACGCCTAGTGTCCATATAATCGTCCCGCTCGAGAAGGTGGTTTTGTTGATTGGTAAATATCTTGAGACAAGAATATCAATACAAAACGTATTAGTTTGTGGCGATTGGGACGATTGAATGGATCTAAGGCCTTGGAGGACATGCTAAAACTTGTGAAATAGAGAATGGGATGAGAAGGAGATAATACGTTATCATAGATAAATAAAAACAGTGTAAGAGCGACATAATATTGAAAAGAGAATAGTAGAGAAACACCTCGTTAAACAGGAAACAGTACAGAAAAGACGTAAAAAGAAGACATGACACTACGATATGCCACACCCTACAATCACATGACTCTGTTCAGTTGTGTAATGTAACGTTACCTGGMGCAGGTGGTCGTGCTGCACTGCTTTCTGCATTAGCAGYCCCAGATTTAGTCAGCTTGCTAAGAATACCACGTTCTGACATGTTSAGACGTGAACATACTGTAGGCATGCGTATCAAGGTTGACGGAAGACGGTTCACATCAGATTTCATATCTGCCAGTAACTCTTCGAGCTGGTTAAGCACTGCAACATAGGACAATGAATGAAAATGAGTTAACACAATACAGTGTAATATCCCGTCTMTAAGCAATTGAAATTTAAAGCAATAATATCAATCTTGATTGAGTGAAGACTATTACGATCAAAATAGAAACAAATTGCGATTTTAATTTTMATTTATTYAAAACAAACCTTTATGAAGCACGGCATTGGCTGGCTTGTTGCCTGATAACGATTCCTTGGATAAATGCTGGTGACTTTCAGCCAAACATTCAAGCTCTGCAAACCTGGAAAACATATCATAATTATCTGATGACATCCAAGGAATGAAGAACAAATCATTGCGTTTAACATTGTTTTTCAAAATTCCTTGGTCAAGTGTTAAACACGCTAGTTCGCCATCTCTTTGATAGACCTTTCTCCAAAATGGCCACAGCTCAATAGCATAATCTTCAGATCTCTAACGACTTTTTAATTCGCAAGATTTTTAGACAGCTCCTTAACTGAGACATATAATTCAGCATTTAATGGGTCACTTTGTCTAAAGCGCGGTGACCATTATGAAGGTTTTAATCCAAACCCAAAAGGTCAAGCGGTCATTAAAGAAAGTACTGTAAACAAATGATTGACATTCCAAGGAAACACAAACCTTGCATTTAAAGCCATAGCAGGATGCTGTGCTTCTTGTTTGAGATTCATACCATCAGCTCTTCTAAGCTGTTCTTCAATGATAAGGGCTTGTTCCAACAACTACAAAATGATAACGTGGAGTACATTATTCATAGGGAAAATTACACAGGTTACTTATTCGTTCCTCTCACAATTCAGAACATGGTTTTTAACACAGACATATAAATAACAACATCATCAACATCATCATCATCATCAACAACAGCAGCAACATTATTTATTCATACCACTTCAAGTGTGTTAGCAAAAGAAAGTTTTGTACAACAAATAACAAATTAGCCACGCACCTTAAACCGACGGGCAATAAACCTGTTCTTGTATTCCAGTGATACTGAGATATAGAGGTAAACAAATGAATATATCATATCTATGTTAGCTTATATGGACATGA